AGGAATAAAAAACAATTGCAAATTTTTGGCAAAGAAAAAGTGATCCGATCAGTGAGTCGTTGAAACGGAATTAATTAGTCGTATTGTGGTCATGATTTGCGCCTTTTTACGAAACACATCAAATAAAAGGAAGCAAAGTTACGCGAGGATCTTTTTCTTGCGAAATGTCGATCGTAAAGTTTTCTTTACATCCTGAGCGCGCACACCTCATGCAAGTATGTCACATAACATATACATACATTTTGGCTGTAATGTATTATTATTATAGGATGCATTTCGTAAATACATATAAAGACGTATATACGCAGGTAATGGAATTGAACGAATTAATCGATATTTCACGCCACAAGATTGATCGGTATGTAAACCGATGTGATTTCATTTTTATACCCTGCGTAGAGTATAAAACAGTGATTAGATTCTATTCTGTTATTTACAATAGATTCAACAAATGATTTCTCTGTAGTGATGCATGTATTATATATGCGCGCGCGTATACATGTGTGTGTAGTACGTACGTACATTATCGACACGCAGACTCACTGGCGGTTCGAGTAATTTCATTCATGAATCGAATCTATCGAGTCACGACTCACGGCCTCGAGAATGCCATGCTTGTCTTCTTTCGCCATGCGAGAATCACTCGCTATTTGATAAATTTTAAATTGAATCGAATGATATAGGCGATTCGTTGTGACTTTACAATCGTTCTAAATCCCATAATAGCTACGAGTGCATCGCAGAGCGTCGGAGGAAATCGCAATGAGATCATATGAAAAGATGCAAAGTCTAGCAATTTAATTATAGACGACTATCTATGTATATATGAAGCATAATTCTCTCGTTCATTTTATAATTTTATAATTACCTAGGAGAAAAAAACTCTGTTCACCCACATGTTGGTTATTTAAAATTAATATTGCATTGTTATTCGTAATTGCGCGATTGTATTAATGTTCCTCTTCTTTCCAAACACAAAGTATACACACGTCCATTCATATCATTTGATTTTGAGACGTGCGTTACGTGATCGAAAACCATGTTAGTTGTGTACATACTTGCATTTATAAAATTTTTCCTCGGCCGCATCGAAAGAGAAATAACGATGAAAGATTTTAGAACAAGACGATATAAAGTAACATCACACGAGGCAGTATCATGCTTGACACGAGAGGGGCTATCGAGTCCGCTTGTAGATATAACGTGGTAGATATTAGCGACTCTTCATTCAAGGAATGACGTTTGCCCATTATTTACTGTCTTGAGCGGTTAACGTCACTGCAGCAACGTGCGTCATTGCGCAGCATCTTTCTCCTCTCTTTTTTCTTCTCGCTCCTGTGGTCGCGTCAGTTTCCGTTGCCAGAAATGCACAAGATTTCACAATATCCAAACGTTAGGCTCTTAACGCAAAATTTATCAAAGTCGTCGCGTCGGGTCCAAGGAATCCAAGTTTTTTTTTCTTTCTACTTTACTATATAATTTCCTTTGGAATTAATTTACACGTCACGTAAAAATTTATATACGATTGCAATACTGTTGCAACAATCAACTGCAAATATAGATATATTTGTAGTGCGCGCGCGTATATACGCACATATATGTACATGCACGTATTATGGCATGTACCAACTATATATTGATTGATAACTCTTGAGCTATAAGAATATTGTTACTGAATAAAGAAAAAAAAATGTGATTTTTTTTCGTTTTTTAACATTTTTGCGAGTGTATAAGAATTTGCAAAATTATATAGCAAGACTTGATAGTTTGAGATGACTGTTTGAACTGGAATGAGAAAAAATTGGTACGAGAAAAATACCTCATACGTTTATTAAAATGTTTATTGTCATCAAAGAGAATTAAAGTCACGCTAGCTATGATGTGTGTGTTTTTTCCTCAAATTACTGATTTTCTAGAAAATGGAACACTTGTGTAATAATTTTATATGCTTCGATTTGAGTAAAAAGCAATAACGTGCGGTAGTCGTTAGTATATACATACTAGTTAGTTTCTACATATACCTGATGGTCGATCAAGTCTAGGGATCCACAATTAATAACTGAATCGTCAAATAAATTGTATACACTACATTGAATAAATTGTTAAACTAACTTATTGCCGCACTAAAAAAGAACGTACGAAACGATGCGACGATATGTATAATATTTGTATATGCGACAAATACGTTTGAGAGATTACAACTATAATTAGAGACGATTAGATTATTCTCGAGATGCTAGAAACTTTTGAATTTGTACGTTTTTATTCACATAAGAGCTAAGCGATACATATATATATATATATAT